TTTAAATTTATAATAAATAATTTAAATTGTACCATAATATTAATTTTAAATAGAAATAAGTAGATTGTTAATTATACGAGTAAATATATATATATATATATATATAATGATTAATTAAATATAATATAATTATTATTATTGGTAATATAATTATTATATATATTCTTATATTTTTATAGCGTCTAGACACACCAAAATGAGAGGGATCCAAAAATAATATAAGTATGAGATTGTATAGTTGAGGATGACTTAAATGAATTAATTTAAACTACTTATACTGATAACATGCATCTGCTTTTCGGTAGCTTATCTTATCAGAACTTTATAGTTAAGCGTGTTTGACGTGGAGTAATATACGGATGGGTGACATTCTGGAAAGTTTCTTAGAAAATGTGCAATAAGGACAAAACACGTTGAAAAGTGAAGTGTCATGAAATGGCATCCTTGAGAGGCCAAATATGAGGGTTGTTACATTAATAAATTTATTAAAATTAAACAAATTTTTTTTGAAGGTTATCTACGGATAAAATTCATAAATAACAACTATCGTGGGTTATCTACGGAAAAAATTTGTAGATAACAACTTTCGTGGGTTATCTACGAAAAATTTTCCATAAGTAACGTTACTTACGGAAAAATTTACGTATGTAACGTTATCTACGAAATTTTTTTCATAAGTAACGTTATCTATGACTTTATTACCTACGGACTTTTTTTCGTAGATAATTCGTAGATAATTAACACTTACCTACAGATTTTCATGCTTATCTACAAATTTCTTCTGTAAATAATGCTGATTTTTCTTGTAGTATTTTAGCACAATAATGATGAGAAACACATTAAAACAATACCATAAAAAAATAGACAAAGATCACACAAATTTATTTAATGTGGTTCAACCCCTCATGCCTAAGTCTACAAGGATGTTTCATTATCTATCTCAAAATGTATTACATATATATCTAAAAAATTCTCCCTTCAAGTTTTGTAGTTGAAACTTGAAAACCCCTTCTTCACAAGTTTTATGAGATAAAACTTGAAAACCTCTCTCTCACAAGTTTTCTAATGAAACTTGAAAACCCTCTCTCACAAGTTTTCTAGCAAAACTTGGAAATCTTTTTTCATATGGTCTCCTATCTCATTTAAGGTGATAACTCCTTCTACAGGTCATGTGATTCTTCTCATATCAAGAATTTCTATTTATTGACCTTACACCATAATCTTAAAAGAGAAAACAAATCTCTAAAATAAATACAATATATTTCAATTATAAACAATGTTATAAAAAAAATCAATATCTTTTAAAAGCTCAATTATATCTCAGAGATTTGAACTAAAAAATTTGAATTTTTTTCCAACAACTACCTATTGAAATAGGTAGGAATCGGAAGAACACAAGAGAGTACATGTAAAATTTGAAAGAAAAAAAAAGAAAGAGGTGAGTGGAAAAGACAAATATAATAGAAAGTTAAAAATTGGGGGTATAAAATTAAAAAATTAAAGAATAAAAAATTGTGTATTTAAAAAAAAAATTAAAGCAAAGGAGGTGTATATAATATTAACCACCTTTTTTTTTATCTTCGCAACCACCTTACATAGTTCACGGGTAACGGGCCATTCCACATGCTAATGGGCCGACCCACGACCAGTGAATAAAAAAGGAAAACAATAACAATTTAAGAGTGACAATTTATATACACTATTATTTAGGCAGATGATAAACACACCTCCACTCTCATATAAACACACCCCCTTTCTAAAAAAAAATATATAAAATATCTAAATTACCCTTAAAAAAAAATAAAAAATCCTAAATTTACATACCTTCCCCACCTCCTTCCCGCACCCCACACCCCCCGTTCTCCCGCACCCCAGGCCACCGTAGAGAAACTGGAGCATGAGGAGGAAGACCTCGGAGCCGACGGAGTTGACGGGTATGACTCCGGAGCGCGAGTTGATCCTTGGGCCGGTGGGGTCCAGGCCAGAGGGTGGGTCCGGCCCACAGAAGAATTTCCTGAAGAAGAGGCTCCGCGCGGCCAGTATGCAGCGGTGCGCGTGAACCAGACGTCCCTCCACGCTGAAAGTGACGTCGCTGAAGGCCTGGCCGTTGATGAGGAGGTTCAGGTAATCCAGCGGCAGAGATCTTAGCGACTCTTCAAGGGACATGGTGATGCTACTGCTACTGCTATGCTTCTACTGTTACTGTTTCTTACCTGTTCCTGATAAATTTACTGTGCTGTCGTCTCAACGCTCTAGGGTTCTATCTTCTAACTTATTGCTTGGGGGTGTTTAAGGGAAAAGTGAGAGAGATGGAATAGTGAGAAGAACAAGAACAAGAACACCAAGGAAGAGGTTGGTTCATGTTCATCCCTTTATTGATGATGATGCTACTGTGCTTGTTTTTATGGGATTCGCTCGCTCGCTCGATGCTCTATGGTTTGGGATTGCAAATGTATTTTTCATAGATATTTTTGGTGTGAGAGATAGAGAGAGAGAGGCCTGGGAAGAGAGAGAAACAAAGATTGCAATTTGGGTGGCTATTCTGGGCGGCTCGGGCTGTGGGGGTGCGGGGTGTGGGGTGTGGGGTGTGGGGTGTGGGGTGCGGGAACGGAGCGCAGGAAAGGGAGGTGTAAATTTAAGAATTTTATTTTTTTTAAGGGTAATTTAGACATTTTATATATATTTTTTTAAAAAGGGGGCGTGTTTATACGAGGGTGGAGGTGTGTTTATCTTCTGCCTATTATTTATCATTTTGTTTAATTCATTAAAATCGATAGCCCACATTATCCTACATGAGTCATGGGCACAATTTTTTCATGCGATAAATATTTTTATATTTTTCTAGTTTATCTAATTGGGCTACAACGTTAAATAATAAATATAAAAGTCATTACGTTCTTCAAAATATTTTTAATCTCTTTTAATATGTTTTTAATAAGTGAATAAGCAAATACATTTAACGTTTAAAAGAATAAAAAAGATCAATAAATGTAAAGGCGTGGCAAAATTAAAGCAACATTAAACTTGATTGTTGTGTTTGTATTAGATTACCCTTTCTTTTTCTTTATGCACAAGATTGAATTGTCTTGAATTGCATATATAGGTTTATGGCGGTATTCTAACTTAATATTACCAAAAGTTACATTTTCTTCTTCCTCAGACAAATTCCATACTTAAGTGATAATTGTAAGACCAACAAAAAGGACAGATTAAGAGAAGGTGGAATCAGAGAAATCAACCTAAGAAACACACATTATTATTATTTATATATATTATTTTGATTTTATTACTAATTAATGTGAAATCTCGGATAACCAACTTAAGAAATCAACCAAATGTATAGAGCTTAGGTCAATGAAGGAGACATGAAGCAGGTAAGAACATCCACATTACCAAATACACACGAAAGTAGATATTTCTTTTTTTGGCATTTGATATAATTTATTATCTTTCAAGAAGAAAGAAAACACACGACGCCTCTTGGGTAAAGGCAGTGTTTTAAAACCCGGACCGACCCGGCCGGTCGGACCGGTTGGACCGGGAACCGGTGGTCCAGCCGGTCCGAATCTGAAGTTGGATCGGTTATGCAGTCGACCCGTTTCAAACCGGATTGAACCGGTCAATTTTTCGGTTCAACCGGTGAACCGGTGGGTCAAACCGGTTCAACCACTTTTTTTTTTTTTTAATTTTTTTATTATTTTTTTAATTTTTTATTTTTTAAGGGGCCATAAACCACAAAAATAATAATGAAAATTGAATCTTTTAATGAAAAAGCAAGGAGTCTTATTAAATATAACAATGACTACTTGTTCTAATATATTTGTTTGCAATATATACAACTTAAATAACTTTTATAGTATATTATTAATTTTAAATTATATATTTAATAATGCAATATCTATGTAAATATTACATATATTATTTTGTGATATTAATTGCAAGCATATTATATATGTACATATTATTTATATTTTTAATTTGTATTAATATACTGTTTAACATGTAATTTTTTTATGTATTTTTTTACAAAATAAAAATAAAAATAATTTTAAATAATATAGAAAAATTAAAATTTAAAATAAGATATGAATTTATTAAAATTTATAAGTATAAAATATATTTAATATGAATATTTTTTAATAAAAATAAATAAAAATCGAGTCATGCGGTTCAACCAGTGACCCACCGGTTCAACCTTTGACCCACTGACCCAGTACCTTAACCGGTTCGATGACCGGTCCGGTTTTTAAAACTATGGGTAAAGGGAATGTTAAAAGCTAAAAGATAGGCGAACAATGTAGCAAAAAAAAAAACAAAAACAAAATAAAAGGATTGCATCGGGCACACGTCAAGTTCAACAAATCCATGCACGTATACATATGCCGTTGTCATTACCAAAAAATTCCTTCACTTTAACTCGTGTCTCTATCAAGAAATTATTCTGTTAATATGGAGGTTATTTAGAGATTTTGTATTTAACAGTTGAAAACTGTTGGCAAGTTAAATACCGAGTGCACAAGCCGGTCATAATATTTTAATGGATTCTAAGCAAAATAATAAATATGAACATTTTTTCTTCATAATTATATTATTAAAATTTGGAAATTGATACTAATTTTTATCATGAAACCTGACTTGTCTCAAATACTTTGTTTAAAGAATTTAAATTTAGTACTATTAAAATTAATGAGTTTGTTGGTACAAATTTTAATATATATATATATATATATATTATTTTAAATATAAATATTATATATAAAGGCATAAAAATAAAGAACATAATGTCAAGCAAATTTAGGTTCTGTTAAGCAACCTTAAGCTTGCTCAAGCGAACGCAAGACAGAGAGTTTTGGGTATCAACTCACTCAAGCAAACTACTCTCGCTTAACCAAATGATTGGCTTGCTTAAGTGATTAGATGACCGGATTTTCTTTTGTGGTCTGCATAAAAGTTATAACCCTAGATGTTAGATTTCAAACATCATTGAAATCACAAAAAAAAAAGTTGTTTATAACTCGTTATGATCAAATCAATAACCAAAGGTCAAGTTACCAGATTTAGACTAAAATGCTTGGGTATTGTAACTTTTAAGCATGGTAGATGGTAAAATAAGTTCTTGAGGTTGACATAGAAGTTGTAGATAATTGTATTATCTTTCTAAAAATAACTGAGATCAAATTGATATCATAAGTATAACTCCATATATCACGTTTAGACCCCACAATATTATAGGAGTTTAAGATAAGAAATTAAAACATAGTTTGATAGTTGTAATGGTGATTTGATTTACCTTTGAAGTGTTTAATCTTGAAAATGGTTTGATAAACATATACCAATGGTTAAGAAAGAGAAAGAATGAGAGGGGATATTCTTGAATAAGTTATGATGAAGATACAAAAATTATGTTTGTGAGACCTTATGTTTGAGGCTTTGTGTCTATATGCAATATGAGATGTTTCTACATGATGTGGATGATATGAAATGTTTATGCATTGCATGAGAAATCTATATGTGATAGGAGGTGATTATACATGATGTGATATGAGATGTTTATGCATGATGAGATATGAGATGTTGATGTTTGAGTTGAAAATGTTTTGTTCAACGTTTGAAATATTGGTGATTGATGAGATGTGAAATGACAATAATGTGTGATATGAGAATGAAATGATAATGATGTATATGCATGAAATTAACAAGATGATGATGTGTATGCATGAGATTGATATTAAGATGATGCGTTAAGTGAATGAGATGAGTATTAGTTGAATCCATGAGATAAAGTGTTGTATAGAGTCTTGTATATGAAGCATGCATCATGTGTATGAGCATTTGTGTTCAGGCCATGAGTATTCACCTTTGGGTCATGAGTGTTCGCCTTCGGTCCATGAGTAATCACCTTTGGACTATGAGTTATAAGATCCTTTGCCTCACATGCATGTAGATGTAGATGAGATCATGTCCACTACATTAAGTGAATGAGATGTGAATGTATATGCTTGTGTTGGTGTAATGTTGCTATTAATTGAAGTTATAATGTTTTACTTATATTTTAATACTCGTTACATGTACATATGCTTATGTTATAGTTGATGTTTTGGTTGATTATATCTCACATTAGTAGTTAAAGTGAGACGTTTTGCACTTTCCTTTATTGTCGTTGTTGTTGTTGAGTTTCTATGTGTTTTGCAAGTGAGAATCATCATTATGATAATGTTGGTAAAGAGGCGAGTTCCTTGTGATGTGTTATGGATCAATCTTTGATAAGATGTGACATCAAGGTTCCTTAGATTAAAATCTTTATTGCTTAGAGTTCTTTATTATGTTTATATATCATGTAATTACTTTTGAGTTATAGTGGTTTCTTATTAAGCAAGAAGTTAGTTATATTTCATATTTCTTTTGTTTACGTATTTGTTTCCACTTTTGAATAAATATGATTTTGTTCCGGCCAAAGGGCGGACTAGGGTTTTTTCCTAGGTTAAGTCTTAAAGTCAGAGCATTCAAAAGTGTAATCTGTCCTGTTAACTCTAGGGTTTTAGGTTTTATTCTTTTCTGTTCATGGGCCACCTAGGCCTTGTGAGCGCGAGGATTTCTATAACGATTTTCCTTGGAAATATTTGATTATCAAAGATCGGCTTTTCATCCTTGATTCTCGGACCAATCCAAAGGGTGAGACCCACTCGAACTTTGGCCGACCATCCCCTGGCCGAGCTCATCATGGCCAAGCACAGCCTGGCCGATCTCACCATGGCCGAGCACAGCCTGGCCGATCTCACCATGGTCGAGCGCACCCTGGCTGACCATACCCAGGCTGAGCTCGTCCAGGGGGTGGGTGAGATTGCGGTCTGACTAATCTTACCCGTGTGAGAGGTTAGATCGCCTGTCGACCGAGAAGACCCATATTCAAGATTCATCGGATCAAAACCTAAAGGGTATCAGATCGGGATCTGACTGGGACGGTACACTTGCCTTCCAGCTTTAAGCTTATAAGGTGCAAGGGCTTAACTGTCCCTGAGATCGAGTCCAGATCAGATTCCGACTGAACTCCCCCGAGATCACCCTCGTGGAAGAGGATCAGGTTAGATTTCGATTGTTTCCATGCCTGGGCCAAAATCAGGTCAGCCCTTTTCCGAATCTCCCCTTGGTGTGCCGATACGGTACACTTGCCTTCCAGCCCTGAGCCTTATAGG